CTGAGTTCAAGGAGCTCAGCTGCCTCTACCAGATGTGGTCACAAGTTGTACTTAAACCCCTTTACAAAAACTGTTTACTACGTATTACAAAGAAAATCCCAAACCTTCTTAGAAGAAGCCTTTTCCTTTGCCACGTCAGCCTGGTATTTAAATGTGCTGGCATCACAGCTAGGCAGCTAATTCATATCTGGTTTGTGCAGTCCTCTTATCAATATGTCTAGGCACAGGAGAATTTTTTATTTATTTATTTAAAACTGAGCCCCACATTGTCTTTCCTGGGCTCTTTTCCATTCAGCATGTACCACACCCTCCTCATCACCTTTCCTTACCCCAGCAAGGCATCACAAACTGGAGCTGAGGCTCTCAAGGTGATGCCCGAGCCCATGTTTTCACTCCCAAGTTGTTCTGCTTCCTTACTACATTTTTCCCCAATAGGATTAGTTCCCAGGAAGATATAGGGACACATTCAGAAATACCGATATACCTGAAGACCCAAACACTTGTACAGCAATTCCTAGCAGGCACTTGAGCAAGCTAGGCACTTCATTTACAAGTCTATACACAGTTCTACAAACCAATCTTCCTAATATTACTCCAGCTTCCAACTCTATAAAAGAATAAAGAATATTTCAAAAGAACAAAAGCATCCCTCCTCCACCCTTTAGATTGTGTGAACTTTCAAAATTAAAAAAAAAAAATCTAATTTTGAGCCCTTTTATGTGTTCTAATCCTCTCTCACTCTTTTTTTTTTTTAATTTTGAACACAGCTGTCTGTTGTACTTTCTCAAATGATGCCAGATGCTGGGTTCATCAACCAAACGCATGAAAACAATGGTTTGAAAGCAATTAGAAGCACCGAGGCTGCACCGAGGCTCATATTAAAATGTGATAACACTGTTCTAGTGGGAATTGCAACGCTGCTGCATTTCTGACATTTCTGTGCTGCCAGACAGACAGGATGTGCTGGAAGTGGGCCCTGATCGAGGAGGTAACATACTGGAATTTATTCCTGGAGTAAATGAAGGATTAGCTGAGTTGGAACACTCGCAGGGATTTTTATTACAGCCCCAGCTCCCATCTTGTTTGAACACTGGCAGATCCTTCTGTCTGTGCTCAGGTATTACAACCATTATTTAAGGAAAAAGGACAAACCTTTAAGGAAAAAGAATGAACCCACAGAACCACACGCTGTGGCTGTACCCAATGCTCCAAACCGAGAATCAGAGCTGAGCTCCACCAATCTGACACAGAGTCAAAGGAGCTCCAGGTCAGCTTTCAGCGAATACATATCCATCAATTGCCCCGAATATGCAGAAGTACCCACTGACACGGCTTGTGACCTGCAGGCACCCTGGAAAGTTTAAATCATCACCCACATTATTGCGGAAATAAAGATCAAAGTCACAATCAGAATCTCCCAGCTTGTTAACAGACATAACAAGAGATGGTCACGGTCCTGAAAAATTTACAGCCTGACCATTTGTCTACACCTGGAGGTTGATTCAGTTTCAAGTTTGGGTTAACATGAAGCAATGAGACCGGAGGAAACCTGCTGAAGGTTACCCAACAGTCTTTGCTCCCAAGTCAATGGCCCATGGGAATATACTGCCCTTTCTGAACTTTAAGCCTTTTCTGGGGACAGAAGTTTTGCAGAGAAATTTCCTGTGCTTGTCCAAGACAATACATTTGTGTCAGCACCGCAGTTTTGTATTACTCTCTCTCAAGGGTGAGGAGAAATGGACTTCTGCTCAGAAAGAATACTAACCCCAACCCCTGCTATCTCCCTCACTATAGCTTTGCCCCTTTCCGCCCCTAAGAACTGCCACACACAGCTTTATATTCGGTTTAACCTTTGCTCCGTGTTGACTTTGCATAGAAAACACCGAACACGTCCAGCCCTTCCCAGTTCCCCAAGCTCCTAACAGTGAGAACTCACCCCTCCATCCCCTGGCTCGTACTCACCTCGGGGCAGAAATTCCAAGCGGTACCTGAAAGACCAGAAAAAAAAAAAAAAGATAGATATAAGCATACATTATTTTCTTAATTATTTGTTCCAGCCTGATGAATAAGTGACAGATGGGAGAATTACGCCAGAAACGCTGCCAGGAACTCAGCGAATGGTCACCACACATTTTGTGCAAGAACCTCCAAGAGGGACTGCGAGTCCTACAGATGCTATCTGGCCCCTGCAACATCCTCTGCTACCCAGGGAACCTCCTTCACCTCTCCTCCTCTTGAAAAGCTTCAAAGGTTCCCAACTTCCTTCCAGTAGAACAGGTCTCTTTCTCCAAACACAAAGGTTTACACGACCTTTTGCTTTGCAGCCTTAATTAAAGGCCTCTGAAGGTCCCTTCCAACCCAAACTATTCCATGATTCTATTCTGTGACTCTTTTCTTAACCTCATCTCACCCCTTCCCTTACAGCAGTGCAGAGGGCAGCATGCACGCTGCCCAGTCCCGGCCATGCCAAAAAAATTCCTTCGTGATTTCTTCGTCTCTCACACTTTGAGCGCGTCTTGGGTTGACATCGGAGTCATTTTAATAAGGGAGCAGCACTGGCAAGTTTTGGAAACCGATCAAGGATTGGGGATAAACCACAAAGTGACCCATTCACAGGCAGATGTGTAACAAAGGGTTGGTCTATAGGCATTAGTGGCAAGAATCCAGTATGTAAAAATCCAATCAATTTGTTTCCTCATTAAAAGCTTTCATGAAGAAAATGATTTAACACAAACATTCAAGCTACTGACACAGATTAATTAGAAAACAACAACAGAATTCTGATTAAGGGCATAATATTTATTTGACTTGTTTGCTTTGGACACAAAAAAAATAAAAAATGTGCACAGACAGAAGAAACTTTCCTGGGAGAATGGGCCCAGTGATAAATAACAGCTGTATTATATTGGAAAGAGCCACACCACTGTGCTTTGTAGTGAGAGAGGGCTGCAAATTTCTCTGGGCCTTTGGATGCTCTTGGCAGTGGTCCCCCATTTTCACAACAAGCTCTTTCCTATCCACCCTATGGCAGCTCCACCTTATCTCTCAAACCCAGAGAAGTGACACCACCTGCCCGAGGTCAGGGGAACAGTAACAGCAGCTCCATCCTTTTGTTTCCGATCAGCATTAACAGTTATTCAACATTTGCTTTGAGAATTCAAACACTGTTCAACGTTCGATTTGAGAAACCTCTCCTCCCCGGGCTCAGCCTCTGCTCTGTGAGAGGTACCTGTGTTCCCCCGACCCCCCAAGTCCAGCACCCCCGAGAGTTGAAATACTTTTGTCTCCTGAACAGACAACGACCGCGAGACAAGGACAGCAAAATCACTTCTTGTTTTGTGAACTTTTGTCTCTTGTGCTTGAGAGACTGTCCTAATCTCCCCTGAACATGTTTTAGTGATAACATTTACTGCACTAGGACCAAAATGATTTTCTGTCACTTCTAATTCCAGTTCAATAAAAGTATAAGAGCTTTGTTTCTAACCTCTGTCATTTTTAATACAGTAAAAAGGTTTAAAAAAAATGTAAAATTGAGTTCCATTTCCTACTGGACCAGCAAGCCCATGTTAGCTTCACTCTGATCAAATTTAAGGGGGGGGAAATACCAAAAAGATTCTTTGCTTTTTCTTTAAGCATAAGGAAACAGTCAAAAATTCTAATCTCATCAGATCAGGATGTGTCTTTAATCTCATGCTTTGATCATTTTCACTCTGGAAAGGCTTAAGCAGAGAATGAAAGTTAGTTTAAAATCTAATCGGGAGTGGGGGGAAGATGGTCTTGTTCTTATGGAAGATGAAAGAGTAATGATCTAATTCCTTCATCTGCCACTGACTGCATGAAAATCTTGAATAAATTACTTATCTTGAGAGCTTAAAAGGCACCCACATACGATGCCACACATTATTTTCACACAGTATTTTCAGTATGTTCACTTAAAGGATTTCTTTCTTTCCCCCTGATGTTTTGTACATGTCTAAGAGGGCAGGGGAAGGACGACTTTCAGCGTCTGTGTTTTCCCCCACCCCTTCCTGCAAGTAACTGCAGCCTTAGTTCATCAGTGAGTTACATTTTCACAATTTTCAGAGGTGGCCAGAATTGGGGTTTTTTTATTATTTTGTTCCTGCATTACCCAAGAAATGCAATTATTTGGGCAAAACACCCATTTTTGCTGCAACAACCTAGGTAGCAAATAGGGTTAGTTCAAAAATATCTGTAGCCCTAAGTCACGTGCATGCTTGTAGACTCAGAACAAAGCATGTTTCTGTGCAGCAGGGGAGGAGGAACTCAGGTAGCAGAAGCTCAGGGTAGTCATCTTGGGCCACTCTCCAAAATACAGAGCTTGAGGCCAATTCTGATTTTTGTTCCCAATTAAGACAGTACTAACTGACAGCGCATTACGCCTTTAACATGCCTGACCTGTAGTTACACAACGTTTCGTTCTTTAGCTTTGCAGGAGGTTTACCCTGAAAGATATACTCCAATAATTTCTCTCAGCAAATAATTAAAAAAAAAAAAAAACAGAAAATTGCTCCATCCACATCCCGCCTTGAGCCAGCCAGTATGAGTTAGAAACTGGAGGCCTCATCTTTATTCAGCTGCATCTTTATTTTGGAGGTTAATTGCCTTGGGATCAGTTTGACATTTTCATCTTTAATAAACAATTTTTAGGTCTCCCAAACACCAAAAGTAAAAGCTTCTCATTCATTTTCTTAACCAGAAGGTTTGGGAATAGGCGGTATCTTTGGACACCTCTTTTAAGCACTTGCTTATAAGAGCTCCTGTCCACCAGCTGTGGGTGGAATCCCCCAAGAAGAGAACCAGTTAAGGCAAAGCATAGCAGAGTTTTCAGCCAAGTAGGAAGGTCTAATCTACATCAGTCCTTAAGAAAGTGGAGGGAGATGGGGAAAACTCTTGTCAAATGATTAACTAGCTTCAGCAAAACGACCTCACAAAGGAATCTATTGAGAATTTTGATGCAATATGTAAAGCAAGGGACTAACCCAGAAATATCTGATTTCCATTACAAAGCCTAAGAATGAGTGTTGCACTGCCAATAGTTTAACAAAAGACATCCTATAAGTATTTCCCCTGCATGGTTCAGCAACGAACCACCCACCTCTCTCACCTCATCGGTGCATATTTCGGGCTAGACAGGAAGAAGCCACAGATTTGTTCTGTTCAAAACACAAACTGTTTCTCATGCTTGTATAGCCTTTGAGGTTACACACTCAACAAGCAAACATCAGAGGGGCTCGCTTTTCTGGAAATGTTTATGTTCTTTGCTCCTGAAAAACATACAGATCCCAGTTCTAATTCATCAGCCTCCTAGTAGCAGTGTCTCCAACTGAGCCCAATCAAAATTGCAACTCAACTGTGTAAATAGACCTCAGAGGGTGAATTCCCATGAGAAAAAGTAGAAGAAAATGCTGTTCATAAAATGGTTTGTGTTGGAAGGGACCTTGAAGATCATCTAGTTCCACACCCCTGTCCTGGGCAGGACCACCTCCCACCAGCCCAGGTTGCTCCAAGCCCCGTCCAACCTGGCCTTGAACACCTCCAGGGATGGGGCAGTCACAGCTTCTCGGGGCAACCTGCCCCAGGGGCTCACCACCCTCACAGTCAAGAATTCCTTCCTAATATCTAATCTCAATCTCCCCTCTTTCAGTTTAAAACCATCACTCCTCATCCCATCGCTCCCCTCCCTGATCAGGAGTCCCTCCTCAGCTCTCCTGGAGCCCCTTTAGGCACTGGAAGGGGCTCTAAGGCCTCCCCGGAGCCTTCTCCTCTCCAGGCTGTACAATCACAACTCTCTCATCCTGTCCACATAGAGACTGTTATCACTTTGGAAAGGGAAATTGAGTCACAGATCAGTCAGATTTGCCAGAAAAGTCTCCTTCGCAACAGGAACCCACTGTCCTTACAGTCTTGAGCCAGAACTAACATTTCTCTGTAAGGACCAGAGCATTCTGCTGTCTTCCACAGAGCCAGGACTTGGACTGCCAAAGGGAAAGATACTTCCAGGACACACCAGGACCTTGATCACTGATGTTATCCTTGCTTGTTTGTAACAGAAGAAAGATTAGTGCAACACCAAGAGCATCAGTTAGGCAGTTGTGAGGTTTGAAAATAAGTTCTCAAAGTCCTACCCTTCCTAGCTGTACTGGATGATGGAATCACCTTCAAGAGAGTAGAGTTTGCTTTTCATAGCTTTCACTCAAAAGCAGCCACCTGAGGACAGGAATGCTGCCAGGCCCGACCAAGCAGGACTCCATTCCTTACAGATGAAGAATGACTGGCAAAGAAGTTACTTCAACACTCCTATCGCCTCAGCAGCAGCATTTAAACCAAGGAAAACCATGAACATCCCTTTTTGTTCCAAAAGGAAGGGCAGATTAAGCCCTGGAATACACAAGGATGAAATTTCCCCACAGGTCAGTATTGTTCCTGCCACACTAGGTCTAGATTTACCTTTTGGTATGAGCGGAGAAGTCATGTTTTCTTGGAGCATCAAGATAATTTGGTTTTATTCCTACATTTCCGACCTCTACACAAAACTCAAGCAGTAGATCTACCCCAGGTCTCTAGTCCTCTGTTGCATGGGGAGGGTGGGGCGGTCACAAACCCCATCAATGTGCAGAAATCCAGTAAAATACAGAATTAGCACACCCAATCCTCCCATCCACAACTTGAGTTGGCCGACCAGCACCCACTGCTTCCAGCAAATCCCAGATCTGAAGGAGTCAAACCAGACCCATTTGGGGCTAGAGGCAAAAACTGCTGTCTGAAATCTTATGGTCTGTATTGCACAGGGGGTCAAACTTGATGGCTATAATGGTCTCTTTGCAGCTCTAAAGTCTATAAAAGTTTAAACCCCACTTTCCTCTCAGACTCAATTTCAGCAGGAACCATAAAATAAAGTCAGGTTTCAATCAAATTTCCTGTATTTTCCCATCCAATTAAGAACACTAATATCACCACAGATGTTATTAAATTAGATATTTCAAGACAGTCTAATTTGTTTGGTGCACAGTATTTGTTGGGGTTTTAATGTTTGCAAAAAAATATTTGAAAAAAAAATCAATGCTGTACAAGATTTCAAGCAGGAAAAAAAAAAAAGATGAAAATGGGATTGGGGAGCTCACCATTAGCAGAGTCAGTCACAAACCACTTCAAATGCATTTCTCGGTTAAATGTTACAGAAGCAGCAGCAGCTATGCAAAGACTCTGGTTACACAATTTCAATCATTTACAGTCCTCAGGTTTCAGATTAACAATGCATTCACAAGGAAATGGATGGGGAAACAGGGGTAATTTTATCAGCTGGAATGGAAAATGATGCAAATTACTGAAAGGAGTCTAACCCAGAAGGCACCAAACTGCATTACTGGCAGAGTGAATGGCCACAGTCACCCCAGGTATAAAAGCAGGTAGAATATGATAACAGCTGAATTGAATTTGTGCCCCTGCCACGCTGTATCTTAACACAGGAGAATTCCTTCCTCAGCGCTCCCCAAAAGGAGGAAGGAAAAAAAAAAAAAATCCCCTACCGAGATTACAGAATAAATTGGGAACATCCTAACAGAAACTTTACCAGACTTTAAAAAGAAATAATCACCACAGTCAGTATTAAACTTGACTGTTGAAAACTAAAGGAATGCCTGTGCTCACACACAGCCAGGCACAGATGTACTGGTGCAGGGTGGTGAGAGGCTTTAGATCTCCATTAACACCAGCTGGTGCAGCGCACACTCACGTGTCCCCAAACCAGTGCTCCCCCTGCACTGGGGAAGGATCATATCTCCCCTGCACAAAGGGGGAAAAAAAAAACAAAACAAAACAAAAAAACCCACACAACTTGAGGAGCTCATTTTTAGGCTAGAAAATGCAAATCCAAGAGCTGCTAAGTACTTCTGAAATGCCCGGGACTTGCTTTTATTTTTTTGCAGAACAAATCTGTATTTAATGGCCAAAGTAAGTGTGAATGAAATCCCGCTCAGCAAGATCGTTTCTTTGCTGAGCAAATAAATTTCAGCTCTCTGAAGAACATGAAGGAGGAGAACAGCACTTTGCCTAATTAAGGACAATGTGGTGGGGCTACAGTCCAGCCCCGGCGTTAATGTGCTGAGCTCAATTATCTGCCCATCAGGTCACATTCTTAAATTCCTTTTTATCTTGGTATCACACGTTATTCAGCATAATGAGTTTAATATTGTTAGGAATTACAGGCAGTGCATTTACACTAATGAAGCAAAATTACCCTGAAATTGCGTTTTCTTTCATTTCAATCTTAAAACTTTAAAATAAGGTTGAAAATTGAAGCAATAAGTGTAGTTAATACAGTTAGAAGTTTATTAAAACAGGCTGAACAGGCTGTTTTAGACAGAATTTTGGATATATTTCCATTAGCGAATGTTTTACAACCCTACTCTAATATCTTGCCACAGAAAGGATCAAGTGCAGCCTGATAATTAGGCAAAGTTTCTCTGTTGTTGAAGTTAGCTACAGTTCAGCTACAACTGTAAACCAGTGAAACCAGTAGCTCATGGTTTCTGGCAGCGTGCATGAACCACATGCTACAACAGCTTGCCGAGATTTGTAGCACAGCCTCAAGGCTGCCCGAATTGGAGGAGTCGCTGTGTTGTCTTTACCCTCACGCTTCCATTTGGGGTCAAACCATCCCGTTTCAGCTCCAGCAGCAAGTGCAGGATTTATTGAGGGTAACACTGTCAGGGCCAGATGTGGCAAAGCACCCAGCAGGGACCAGGCGAGGGCATTACCTAAGTTTGCTCCCCAAAACTAAGTATTTCTGCAGCTCAGATTGGAACAAAGGATGGAAACCCATACCCAGGCACCAGCAGCATCCCAGACCCCTCTGTATTCTGCACCTCTGCACTGAGGGTGAGCGATACCCAAGCTCAGAGGCTGTATTTATCTTTCGGAACCTCAATGTTACAAACGAAGCTGACAGCGGCACAGCCCAGGCTCTGGCTGAAAACGCAGGACAGCTATGGCATTTCGCAACAGAATGACATGTAAACCTCATCCCAGAGTTAAGTTAGAGACCAAAATTGCCCAGCCAGGCAGGGAGCGCACGTCTGCGTCACAGCCTGGGAAGCCACATGTGCTGTCAACCACAGCACTTTTGTGTTTGTAACACTGCCCACAGGTACCCGTGTGGCAGTATAGTGGCTGTGGAGGTCCGGGAAAGACCTTGGCTCCTGCAAGCGCTCGTTAGCAGGCCAGGACATCACCTGGAGATGTCCGATACGCGAGGAGTTTCATTGCAGAGTTAAAAGACCACATGCAGGGTTTTCCTCACCAATAGCGCAGTAGCAGCGTTGGGAATATTGCCATAAACTTTAAGGAGAATTAGACAACGAGGCAGTAAAGTGAGGCTTTGGGGCTTGTTATCCAGAGGTGAAGAGCCTGGTCCACGCTGGAGCTCCTGCTGCTGGTAGGAATGTCAAAAAAGTGTCCTGTGTATTACTTATGAGTAGCAGGATCGGGCCTCAGGTTCACGCCGGTGTTTTAGTCACAGTGGAGCAAATTAAAGGTAGAGTTTCAGTGTCTATTTTGGATTTCCTAGTGGGTGTACGCAAGAAACTCAACATTAATTAAGCCCCTTTCTCTTCATTTCTACTTTGATATACAACAGGTCTGCCTTGCTCTCCTTTTAGCACTATTACATTTCGCCTTGGGGAAAAAAAAAATACTAAGAATTTGTTTCCATCAGAGCAAACTTGCCTTCCAACAGGGAGTTTAAATGACTAGCTGACTCCAAGGAGGTGTAGGAACTATTTATCTCCATTTTTTTAAATAAATCCCATTCTCCCCACCTCACCCCCTGCCATTGTAACTGCTCTAGAAATGTCGAAATGCTGAGGTGAGGTCATTTAACAGCAAGAAGACTTTTTTTTTTGGTTACTGCTTTTGCCAAAGGACAAGAATGGGCTTGTGTTCCTGAGCGGAGTCATGTATCCGATTCATCCCAGGTGTCGGACATCTGCTGCTAGCTCTGCAGCCGGCTTTGTTAGGACACAAGAAACAGCAGCCACGTTCCCAAGGAACAACTTGAAACAAACCCTCAGCACCAACGGACCTAAAACAGAAGCAACTGACAATCTCTGGGGGCTTCTGGAAGACAAGTGAAGCTCTGCCCCAGCACCACATCCTCCGCCCAACCTGCCCCAAAGCAAAGCTGCTTTTTAAGCTGGTTTTATCCATTGCAAACACTTTGGTTTTCTCTTCAGGGCTAGAGCAGAGTCCTCAGCCTACGGTCAGGACACAGGTAACCGGTAACATGCTGCAAGATCCTCATCCCTCCCACAGATGCTTCCTGGGGACCAAACCTCTGGTTGCCTTCTGTGGCTTGTTTTCCTGGATGCCATGCAAAGCAATCAGGGAAAGCAATTAAAAATGAGATTATCAACAAAACCAGAGATGATTAGGAAAAAAATTGCCAGGCCAGGATTTACATGTATGATAGCAGAAAGTGGAATAGGATCTGAGTTAATAGGGAGGACAAAAAAAAAAAAAAAGAGAAAGAAAAGAGAACTGTTTCAACATTCAACACAACGGTGCACTTTAAATAACCAAATGAATTCTGAAAGTAAAACGGTACAGGGACTCATAACTCAGCCGTATGGTGACAGCCTCCCCACAGCCACCGCCTCCGACACGGCTCCTCGAGCAAAAGTACCCCAGACTGCCTCAGAAAAAATTATAACCTGCAAACACAATCCTCTCCCTACCTACCGCACTTCTTGCGGCGAGACGGGAACAATATATCCTCACAGGTAGCACATGGAGACATAAAGCCCAACCACTTGTTCACATTATAGTCATCAGCGAACCTCCTGGTGGGGGAACGTTATGAGGCCGTGGGGAGAGCAGCGATATAAAGACCTGACGGCCAAGTTACAGGAACAGTTATTGAGACTGGCTGAGGATAATCACACTAGATGGAAGCTCTTCCCTTCCAGAGACACGTGTGTCTCTCCCCAGTAGTTGAGCAGTTTACTTATGTCCATTATGAACCCAAATAATGAAACCCTACACGCTGTGTTGTGTTTGGCCCCGTAGAGGTGGAAGGCAGGGAGCGGGGCTGCTCGGGGGAGGCAGGCGCTTCCTGAAGACGACGGCTGATGATTTCCTGAACACCGGCCGCAGCAGCCACAGGAAGCTCCCCGAAGAGACAAATCCGCGCCTCATCCCCCAAGAGCAAGACCTGCTTAGATCCTTTCAAATAAAAAGATAGAGTCATCGTTACAGTAATCTCCCACCACAAATCATTGCATTAATGGCTCAGGTCAGAACAAGGACATCTGTGTACTCCGTTCTTCTCACCCTTTCAAATGCCACCGAGCAATAAAACACAAGAAGGAAATCAGCAGTACCCTGTAGTCTTTGCTCAAGGGTCTCACTTTCCCCTCCAGAAGTACCTGCAATTTATTTCAATAAGCAACAGGACTGAGGCCCACAGCTGAACCCGAGCGTCCGGGAGGGTTTGCATACCACCTCTCCTTCTGATGCAAAGGCTGCATCACCAAATCTCCTGCCTGCCCGCCCCCCCCCTTTTTTTTTTTAGATCACTTTGTTCTAAAAGCTTTATCCCAAATTGTATTCGTCAAGTTCTGTGTCACAGCATCAGTGTTTGCCCCAGGACCCTAAAGGCAGCTCCTTCTTGAGAGGGACATGGACCTGTTGGAGCGGCGCCAGAGTAGGCCATGAAGATGATCAGAGGGTTGGAGCACCTCTCCTAAGAAGACAGGCTGAGAGAATTGGGGTTGTTCAGCCTGGAGAAGAGAAGGCTCCAGGGACACCTTAAAGTGGCCTTACAAGAAAGCTGGAGAGGGACTTTTTACAAGGCCATGTAGAGATAGGACAAGGGGGAATAGCTTCAAACTGGAAGAGGGGAGATTTAGATTAGATATTAGGAAGGAATTCTTGACCGTGAGGGTGGTGAGCCCCTGGGGCAGGTTGCCCCGAGAAGCTGTGGCTGCCCCATCCCTGGAGGTGGTCAAGGCCAGGTTGGATGGGGCTTGGAGCAACCTGGGCTGGTGGGAGGTGTCCCTGCCCAGGGCAGGGGGTGGCACTGGATGGTCTTCAAGGTCCCTTCCAACCTAAACCATTCTATGATTCTAAGTCACCAAAACCACACACAGCCTCCGGGAAGCCAGAAGTCCACAGGACGATGGTCATAGCAACATCTTTACCTGCTGTTCAAGTGCCCTTCACAACCCTAACAGCACACGAAGACAGACCGCTTACTTCAGGAAGCAAGAACAATGCAGTATTTCCAAGTTTGCCAAGTGCCTCACACATTTATCAAGTTCCATGCTATTTTTAATTCATTAAAAACGGAGCTAGAGTTGCATTATATGAATATAGAGAGTTGTCACTTTTAAATTTGCATGCTCTCGGGACAGCTGAGAAAAGGCTTGACTTGATGCCTGAATACTTCAGGTTCAGAATTCTGCTTACTTAACTCTTTCCATCCAAAATCAATACCTGCCAGTGAGTGGGAATTTTTCAGAGAAACCACACCAATCTGTTACTAACATGCAATCAGCCCCATTCTTCTGCAGTATTACAGGACACTGCTACACACACACACCCCTTTCTTCCATTAGATATGCTACAGCCCCATTTTCCAAAAGGCTTCCATCTTCTGCATTCAGCTTGCTTCAATTATTCAGGGCAACCCAGGCTGATAATTACACAGTCCCGTGTTGCTGAGTAAAACTGATGCTTAATTAGCCAGCAGGAAAGATCGATTAAGATACAGCAGGGCATCTTGCAAAGTTCTTCAGTGGGACTGCAGGGAATAGAGTCTGGCTGTGCCCTTACGAAGGATAAAATTCTCCGCTTCTCAGGGACTCGACAGCAGTTTTATTTAAACTGGATGCTTAGATCAGTCAGCCACCCCGAGTTTTATTGTCAGGTCTTAACTTCAAGTGACACAACTCATATCTTATAACTAGAGCATTAACAGCAAGCTCTGGATCACGTATCTAGCCAAAAATATAATGCAGCTGAGGCTGAGAGTTTTATTTAAACTGAAAACAAGTTGCTGGAGGCTTATGTGCCTTGATTTTCACCTAGCACAATAGAACAAACTTTGTTCACTTGGCTCACTTGTCCAAATGATGCAGCTCATGTTCTCATGCAGGACTTCAACAGTCTCCAGGACATGAGATTTTGGAGTCCAGTTGAGACCTGCATCTTAACTCAGGAAGTCGTCTTCATCGCTTTTTACTGTATCAAAGTCCAGGCAGTGCATATTTGAGTTCAGGAGTCACTTGTGAAATAGACACTTTCAGCAGCATCAGTCTTTGCTCACTGTATTGATTTACTCACATGCACAAGTACCAAAGTGGTGGACTTTTTCCACAAAATCCTCCCTAGCACAAGGGAGAAGGAAGAACGGGACAGGATCAGAGACCCGTACACAAACAGCTGTACAGACACAGCCCAAGGCATATTTTTTTTTTTTACCTTGAAAGACAAACCAAATTCCAAACACAGATAATGACAACTTTGCAGACAACCATTTAACTGGTGAAACAGGAGAGTGTACAAACCAGTGTGTGGTCTGCTCTCACATTGTACCCAACCCTGAACATCCATTAACTTTCAAAGCACGGTCCAGCTAGTCGAGTACAGCGTGTGGTACCCCAAGGCACAAGACTATTCTGAAGCATTTTCATTAGAGAGTAACGCAGGCAGCACAAACCTGGCTTTGACTTGCTGGAAGCCAAAGAGAATTGCATCCCTCTGCTCCCTTGCTTTCGCACTCAAGTTTTCATTCTGCAGTCCATCCGCCAGGTAAAATTCAGCATCTGGGAAAGAGAGAATTACAGGTTAAAACTAACCTGTTCTTGGCTAAGAAACCCCAACCTTGCTGTGCACTGGGAAGCCCTCGAAGCACCGTACCAAGCAGCCTGATCTAGAGACAGTCAGTCTGAAAACTTCCTTTGGAGAAGTTAAAACATTGAACTGATTGCAGAGAGATCTAAATATTGCATGCGATTACGGAGCTTCTCTCTAGTTGCAATAGTATAAGGCAAATAAGCAACTGCAAAGAAACCACCAAGCAGAAAGAAGAGGAAGGTGAAACAGGGATAAGTCTATTGGATTAAAGTGCAATTCCACCCGCCTCTTTGCTGCCCCAAACCCTAAAAATCTGCTGCTGTGAAAGTCTTCTGGCATTAAGTAAGGACACAGAAGAAATGGTTATCCCATTCAGAGGGGGATCCAAAGCACTTTGAAAAACGCCGGTGCAAGATATCCACTGACAATTCAAGGAAACCTTAACCTGTGGTTTTCACAAGGATGATCTTTGTGAAGGACAAGCGCCGAACAACAGGTTGGTTGTGCACCAGCCTACGTGCACTTGTATCACCACATGGGTTCTCCCACAAGGTTATTGCTGAAATACTACACCCTGTGCTTGCTCAACAGAGACAGCTAAACAAAAGTAAATATGGTATTCTCTCACCTGGGAGCCACATCTACATGCAGAAATTTAACCTGAACTGGAAGATAAAAGGATTAAGTGCCTTCTATTTGCATAAATATTTATGTTCTTTACAGAAACTTAAAAAAAATCTCATGGAAAACAGAACAGTTCCAATCACACCTACTCTGTATAGGAGAATATCACCTTTGTACTTCAGCAGCATTACTGCTAGTTTCCCCTAGCAGAGAAGAGATTGGCTTCAAAGCTTTGGTGGTGTGCATCCACAGGCCTCTCCAACCTTTAACTCACACCCCATGCTGTGACACTAATGTCAGTTTAATATCCCGCTTGCAAGACTTTCAAGCTCCTTATGCTTCAGCTGCCGGTACAACAGCCAGCACTGTTTAACACACCCCGGGAATCCGCACAGCTCCTTGAAAACAGCTCCTCCACCTGCAAGCACATCTCAAGATCAAAATGCCACAAGAGAAATTAATACCCTTTTCTGTTCAAGTCATGAGCCCTCATTTCTTCTTGTTGCCTGCTCATGAAACACTCAAGAAAAGCTTAGAGCTTAAGGGGGGAAGGACAAAAAAAAAAAAACCAACCAAAAAAAGCTCTTTAAAGGGAAGAGCATAAGGAAGGACATGGCGGGGGGGACACAAAGCTGATGCTTGGGCACCCCCCAGAAACAGGATCCTCTTTCTACCTCCTCTCCAGCGACAGAGGGGCTGCACCATGGAGACCCAACACTGCCCACAGCAGCCTGAGAAGAAGGAATGAATCCAGATCCACTTGTCTCCATAACAGTCCAGTTCTCCTTTCTGGGTTTATTCAGCTGAAAGTACCAGTTTCAGTGGGAGCACCCGCTAATAAGTGCATTTCAGCCAAAGACAGACTCCTCCAGGTCCTCATTAGCTTCTTCCTCTGCCTCCCTTCCTTTCCTCCTACCAGGAGGGCATCTGACCCACAAGAACCTGGTCAGATCCAGCTGTGCCTCCTACCTGCAGCCACCACTTCACAGCTGAGACCCTGAGCTAAAGCCCGAGGACAGCACTGGGACAGCCGAGCATCCCAGCACAGCCCCTGCGACATGGGGGTGCACAGTCACCACATCTCAGCAGACGGGGCAGTAACCCCAATTCGCAGCGCCACTAATTCACAGCATCACTCTCAAACCCACACCCACATCCAGCAGAGGTTTTGGGAGCTCCAGGAGCGCAGAGGTGTCAGGCCAAAATGCCTATTAATATCAATTCACTGCTAGTAATTTAGCCCTAGGCGGCCCGTCTGGGATAGCGCAAAGGCTTTGCCAGCGCAGCTGAGAGAAGCTTTTTAAATCCCAGACCAATCCTGTAATCCTTAAACTAAGTTTCATTTTGAGTACATCTCTATGCAGGTTTAATTGTACATCCAAGATACAGTACCAGCTTATGACAAGCCTAACGACACTGAGGCTTACACCGCTTACAAATTACACAGAAAGTACCCAAGTACATATATCTAAGCACAAAGGATATATCTTGCTCTGAGGAGCTTACTGCTTAAGAACAGATGAGGCTAAGGGGACAATTTATTATATACAAACCAGCATAAAAACAGCACAGTAGAAACGGGTCAGCAAGAGAAACCGCACACAGGCTGTATTTCCACAGTGAAAGGAGCAGCAAGAAAAACAAACTGCTCCCAGAACTTGTGCAAATATCAGCTGGATCCCTCTGTCATTTTTAAGCGCAGATTAGCTCCATGAGTACACGATTAGCTCTAATACGGTATTTACTTACTGGGATGTCAGCACACATCAGCTGCTGGATAAGTTATAGTAGAACTAGGGTCACTTCTGCAAACCAGGCAGAGCCCCTTTCAGAGCCAACCACTATGTTTATAGCACCAGGAAATGAAAAAGAAAGCCTAACCATAAACTCTCAAAGTGGATCAGGAAGAGCAATATGTAAGCAGCTCTAGAGTAAATCACCCTAATGTTAGTTTTACTGCTTGTCGGTAACATTATATTCTTGATGTTTATAGATTGCTCTCTGCGATCCACTCTGAAAGTTTACAGGACTCTCCTTTTCATTTCCTGCGGCTAAAAAGGTAAGAGGGAAAAAAAAATAGTTGAGATTTCATCAAGTGTTTCAGGGGAGTTTCTAGAGGCAATTGCAGTTATCCACTTTAATCCTGCAGGAGATGCACAGCATCATAAGAATTATGTCACGACCACTGAAGTCCAGGTAGTAAATAACCTTTTAATGGCAGCACTAAATTCTAGGAGTTAATCAGCACTCAATGAGCAGAGCTGAAAGGCATTAAGGTGCCACGTGTATTCTCTCCATGCACATGCACACATTCACTTTTTTTTTCTCTTTTCTACTCCTCTGCTATCCAAAGGCCACCAACAGAAATCCCACACACCACGCGCAGAGGAATGAGCCCCACAGAATCACCACATTTTAGCTATGCAAGATAATGCCGAGCCAACCAGTCTGCTCCAACACTTATTTGATGCTTCATACAATCCCTCCTGCAGTTTATCACCTCAGCTGGCTGGGAAAAACTAGCTTTAGAAAAAAAAAAGTTTAGGACACCTATCAACACAGAGTGCAGATACCTTGAGCTTCCCTGAGACTGCATTAATATTTCCAGGATGCGTCCCAAGACAGCCAGAGATTTGGAAGGCTGCTTGTATCATCCCCTGTCCCACTTGTCAAAATAAAAGCCATGAACTATCGCACACAGGATTCCTCGACTTTTCTGCAAGCTCAAGAAAGGATGGTTTAATTGTGAAACAACATTTTTCAGATGAGCCTTCCGGCTTTGGCGGGGCTGAGTCAGAGAAAACCTTGAGAACTGAAGCAATCTTCATCCATCCTCCTGCAATGGGCCCAACGGGACATTCTCCCCTTCGCCATGGAAAATGGGGGAACTGAGAACAGCTTCCCAAATTTTCAGCTTCCAAATCTCAACCTAGAATTCCCTGATATTTAAATTCCGGAGCTACTCATGATGCTACATCAATGCTGACTGTGGCTTATTAGCCCTCACAAAACCGAGCATTTTATCGTTTATTTTTAAAACAGCACCGAGGCTGCTTGCCTTGCAATTAGCAGCTAACGGCTTTGTTAAGCTGTGCAGGTGCAGTCACAGCCTCCCACAGCAGCACCTGCTCCATCCCTCCTGTTGCCCAAACTCCAGCAAGAAAATGGGTTTCCAGCCCCCCCCCCCCCCCCCCCACCCCCCCCC